AGACTACGATACAGTTAACAAATTCAATTACGTAAGATTCGCTGTAACACACACGGTAATTAATAACATGTTTCCACTCTAGCTAAAACTACTTATGTTGATGAAATTAAGATTTAATCGTTCCCATTGGCAAAAGCGGATTTATGCATATGAAATCGCTTGTTTGTTTATATTTTACATAAAAACATATGACTAATATTTTAAATTTCGTAAATTTCCCTTGTGGGAAAATTATTTTATGGGTTACATTCGCAATTTTCGCCTTAAATCAGTTGATTTATTTATAATGAGTTCATTTTTATTATATATATTTATATTTAATTATATTTATATTTATTATAAGTGCCAAAAAGTTCAATTCCGGTCCTTTTTCTTGATAATTACACCCAATAGACAAAGACTTTATCTACAACATTACAAAAATGTTATCATGAGGAATATATTAAAACGTATGAATGAAAACAAACTTATTACAGTCACAGATTTATGATCAGTCATTAGAGAGTATGGAATGTTTTAGAAAGTCAAGGTGATAAACTCTACATTGGAAGTAGAGTTCATCCGATTTCATTATCCGATTTGACTGGTCTATAGTCTTCATTAAGAGAAGTAGAAACATTAATACACCATTTCAAGACCATTTCAATGTTAATGTGGGTGTGCAGAACAGGAATAATCTGTGCGATTGTGATACTTTAAGGAGTGTTCTAAAAAGTTGTGAACGTCATTCAGGTTGTCTTAGATACTATATATATTTCATATTTTTATGTGTATTTTATACTAACAGTTAATTTAATCAAACACATAGTCTACAAACATGTAATCTAATCTAAATGCCAATAGAATTGGCTGGTGGAAAAAAATTTGTGGATGCTGATAAAACTTTATCTACATTAAGATGAATTTCATTATTAATTAATGCACTTCGAATCTTTGTGCAGACCTATCGCCTAATGTGCCTGAATTATAAATCGATTACAAGATTTTCTTGTTGGAGAAAAATAGTAAAGTATAGACAGTACCAAAAGTACTGATTACCTCCAAAACAAACGTGATTTCCATGAATTTGTTGTATAGCGAAATAATCTTATGTTTCCGCCCGGATTCAATGAAGGAAGGTTCGTCTAGATATGGAATATTTCCTAAGTTATTATATAAACTAACACCTCGATTTGCGTTGATTTGAATTGCGTCGCCAAAAAAAAAAATATGTTTTGGTTTTGATTTGTGTCAATTTTTAATACATGCGTACATATATGGTTACCATTTGTTGAATTTTACATTTTTTAAAAGGGAATTTACATGTATTAAGTTTTTAATTAAAAGGTGTCAGTTGACATTTGTGTGATGAAGTGGAAAGGTAAATTTTTGCTTTATAAGGTATAAAAATGAGTCAAAAGCGAAAACAAATTTCCTTGGAACAACAGTTAGACATTTATAAATGTTTTAAATTTGGAGAAAAACCTGCTGACATTGGAAGAATTCTGGGTTTAGCTCCAACTACTCAAAGAACAATTTGTTTTCGTGATGCGGACAAGATAAAGGACTATGGAAAAGCTGTCACACATTTGGAGGTCACACAAGTTACTAAGGGTAAAAGTCGCTTTATTGTAAAAATTAAGTCCCTTCTATCCATTGAGATAGAAAATCAGAATCAAAGAAGAATGCCATTGAGCCAAATTTAAATTCAGAATAAGGCTCTGTCGATATTCAATGAGTTGAACAGTAATTCTTCATCAACAAGTGGCCAAAACCAATTTTTGGAAATTAAATATATGAACAAATGTGATTCGATTTGTGTTGTTTCGATTTGCATCGCATTTTGTCAGTGCCAATTGACGACTCAAATCGGGGTCTTACTGTACTTAAGAACTTATTTTTCTGATAACATTAACACCATCTCTGCTTAATGCTAGAACTATATTTTAGTAGCCAGTTACCTATACTTTAGCATTCTATAGACCTCAGAGTGTAGTAAGGGAATCACTTATACTTCCGAATCAAGATAAAAAATTCCTCTAAGCCATAGATTTTTACAAGTCATGGTTTATCAGTGTACAGTGAACATAACAAAAAGTGTAATTGGTTCACACTTAACAATTTTTATTTTTTTATTGCTTTTCTTTATAAATGAAACTCATCAATGAGTAATTGCAATTACTGGAGAGAGGAGAGAATAGCAAAGAAATAGCACAACAATAATAAAAACATGATCTTTAAAATCAGTGGCTCGGAATCGTGTCTTCAACAAAATGGAAAAGAAATTAAGAGTACCAAGCATGGGATTTTCAATGCGTTGTTTACAAAAATAAACAAACAAATCAGAGACGCAACGTTACGATTACTTAATGAGCTTAAGATACCAACAATAACAACAAAAATTATGAGTAAATAAATAAAGAAAAAATTCGTGATATGCAACTTTAGAAAATTTAATGAAGTAACCGTGGGCTCACATTTGCCCGCGGAACCAAATAGAAGTTGTGAATAAAATGTAATTTTAAGAGTAAATTAATTTTTCATAACAGATTTACAACGATGCCAGGTAGTGAAAAATCTTTAACTTACGATCAGCAAGTCAAGTGCAGCAACAACAACAAATACAACAACAATAACAACCATAACAGTTACTACTAGTAGCGATTGTTATTGTTGGTGTTGCTTTACTCGCTCTCGGTTATTTCATTGTTGATTTAATGCAGATGGCAAACGATATTACACGCATTGTTGCTGTTGCTGTTGCTATTGTTGTTGTTGGAAGATGTTATTGCTGCTGCTGCATTCGTTGATGAGGCAATGATATTGCAATTGATCGTCTTACAGCCTAATTCTCCACTGTTCATTGTAAAATATGAGAAGCTGTTATTATTATTTATTTTTTAATTTTTTTTATTTTTATTTTCATATATCAGTTTCTGTTGTTATATTAATGAGTTGAACAGTGATGAGCAGTGGAAGTTAATTTAAAGTTATTTTCATAAGTTAATGGAGCATCCACTAATGCAGTCCGCAGCATCGAAAATGAGGAAATAAAAATAAATGAAATAAATTCATGTGAATTGAATTGAATCCCATCAGTAACAGCTCGTCAGATCAACTTCATCATAAATTATTGATATAAAAACAGACACCACAGCAACAACATCCAAAACTTCCATTGATAATTGTCAATACTTGTTGGAGCAGATCTTATTGTGTTACAGATTGTACTGTGAACTCTATATATGATCTCGACTTGCTCATCTGGTTTTGCGTTAATATGAAAGCGTTGCAATAAAAGTTGGTCACCTCTCATTAATTTTATTATTTTTTAATTTTTGTAAATATTTTTTTAACTGAAGAAAAGGCGTGTCATTTTGACAAATCGTCAAGTTATTCATCGACTTCATCTTTTATGATTTAAAATTAGTTTTAAGTCTTTTATTGAATCGCAAATTCATTCAGATTACCTACAATTTAATGAGCTGTGAATTTTATGTTTGAGTCATAGTTTATCGCAACGTCACAGTTTTATATATTATAATTGAAGTAGTTTTAATGAAAGTTAATCTTTTAATAAGCATTTCTGTGCTTAAGCCAACTAAATCCTATATAGAAATAGAACTATAGATTAAAAATACAACCGTGCCTGGATAAAGTGAACACTCGGTGTAATGTATACCTAAAACTTACACGGAGTACCAGAAGTTGGTTGGTTGGCTGCAGTGGTAGGCCATTAGATAACTTCCATGTACCTCAATTAGCGATTTTTCGCCGTTTTGCTACCACATTCTTCGCAAGAACCCTAGTATAGATAAGTAGAGACTAAATCCATCCCGCCAAATTTAAGTAACTGAATTGGTCTTTCGTCTTTACCTATGAACAGTCTGATAAACTATCAAAGAACTACTTTCTTAAGAATCTATATCTTCTAGATGCTAAAGCCGGGCATTCACAGAGAAAATGTATTATGGAGTACCAGAAGAAGTGAAACAAAATTTTGAACTGTAAATTGTTCTTCCAGAGGAAAATTTTTATGGCCTGTGTTTTCGTTTACTTGTTAATTTAGGAAATTTGGTTCTATTTTTATTCTCGGAAACCTATATTGAAATCGATATGAAAAAATTTTAAAGACGAATATATGGATAAGGATGTGGATGGGTGATAGTTGATTGAGGGTGGGAAGGGCATTGCATTTTCATACACAAATATGTATTTTAAGAAATAAAAATGAGTTTTTAAATATAAAATGTACTCCGGAAAATATAAAAAGTTCACAAAATAGTTGTGAAAAATTATAAAGTAAAGTTCCTTAAGTATACTATATTTCGAATTGGGTACCGACAAACCAGACGAAAAAAAATTATTGTTTTGTCGAGTCGATAAAAATGGCGGTTAAGATCAGGCCCCCAACGAACGCTGGTTTCAGGCACACAACAAAACAATGTTCCAGGAAAAAAATAAAGAAGTAATTGCCGAAACTGAGGCCTATTTGGAGAGTTAAAAAAGCATAATAAAGTTAGAGGAGCGTTGAAATTAATATATTACTATTAAAGTAGAGTTGTATAATAGATAAAGTAGAAAATCAGAAACTTATTCAGTGTTATGCGGTATATGATTAAAACTAAAAGATAAAATTTTTACGATAGCCTTGTCTCTTCATGTATTCCATATTTGTAGAAACATATTTTTAATAATTATTAATAATATTTAATTCATTTCTACTAATTCTATTTATTCTTTGAAAAATATAAGACACTTTTTTATTAACTATACCAAAGCCTGCTGTATAACTATACCAAAGCCTGCTGTATATTTAATAATATATTATAATAATTATATATTTTATAGTGTTATTTAAAATTAAGTAGGTGGACAGCAAAACGGAACTAATTTATTATTCAATTAATTTTTAACAACTTTTTTTATGTTAAAGATTAAATAAAACAAATTTATATTATTATAAATATATTAAAGTCACAGTGCTTTCGGGCTTTTAATAATAAATAACTTAAACTTACTCGTATTGGATAAACGTTCCCTCCATGCCATTGGATTTGCTACTAGTCCCTGCAAGCCAGGCCAATACAAGTGCGTTCTATCAACTATATGGCCTGCATGTGTTTTTAAAGGCGCACCCTGGCTTTGTGACAAATACTGCGCCATGCCAGCAGCCGCAGCAGCGATTGAAAAGCGAGGAATACCACCTTGAAAGAAATAATAAGCAATTATAATATATAATTTGATATAATAAAACTTAATATATTATAATATTAAAAATTCATAGTATATGTTTTATTTCTACGACTTTGTATTTACGTATCATGTTTATATAAAAGTATGCTTAGTAATATCGTAATGTAGCGGGCACCGATAGAACCAACAATTTTTTCCTTATAATAGAACTATTTATTTGAAAGAACATACTATGTATAAAACCTGAGAGCTGGTAACAAGCAACACTACACGATTTAGATGTTTATTAATGACAGCGGTCACACGAAACATACAGCTTTCACTGTATTTGGAATATTTTTGTTTATCTTGCTCAAATACATATATATATGTATAAAGTTTATATACATATATATTAATATACATTGTGACCGAAAAGTTTCCGGAAATTTTAAATAAAACGCAAAATTCTTAATCTTCATCAATATTTATTTTATCTCCTTCAAAATATGCTCCATTAGAAGCGATACACAAATGCCAACGTTTCTTCCAATCATCAAAACATTTTTTATAGGCGCTTTCCGGTATGGCTTTGAGTTCCCTCTGCGAATTCTGTTTTACGTCTTCTATGGATTCAAAACGCGTTCCTCTGAGTGGTAATTTGAGGTTGGGAAACAGGAAAAAGTCACACGGTGCAAGATCAGGTGAATACGGTGGCTGTTCGATGGTATTTATTGAATGTTTGGCCTTAAAATCGTTGATAATGTTGAACAAATTGAGGTGAATCGGAACAAGCCGGGCGTTGACACGTCGCATACACAAATTGTCCACCAAAATCAAACGAGCCATCTCACGACCGATGCCTAGCTCTCGTGCTATCTCTCTAACACTCACATGAGGATTTTTGAACACGATTTCCTTTGCCTTTTCAATGTTTTCGTCGGTGGTAGAGGTCGAAGGTCGTCCAGAACGCGGCATGTCTTCGACGGTCGTACGACAGTCCTGAAAGGCTTTGTACCACTCATAAACTTGAGTTTTCGATAAAACTGATTCCCCATAAGCCTTTTGTAGCATTCGCAACGATTCTGCACACGAAATTTCGTTCGAAAAACAAAATTTGATGCAAACTCTTTGTTCAATATTTTTTTCCATTGTTTTTTTCGCAACGCACTACTGAGGTGAACTGGTTTCAACAGCTGCCGTAAACGAACTGTCCTGACAGATCGCGCTCATTTTTGGCATAGTAATTAAGGACAGTGCTGCCAAACTACATAAACTTAAAATATCGAAAAATATACAGCGCGCGAATTTTAAATGAGAATTTCCGAAAACTTTTCGGTCACAATGTATATTAATGCACAACAATAATAATTTTAAATCGGGTAATATATATGTTCATTATGTTGTAAAATGGATCCTCGACAATTGTACCTCTGTAGAAAGTTATTCGATTTTCTCGGACAGTCAGGCTGCCGTTAAATCACTGGTAAGCACCTCAGCCTAGCTATGTGTGCTAACGTTCAACTTATCTGGGTTCCTGGTCATAGGGATATTGCGGGTAACTGCAGGGCGGACGAGCTTGCCAAGACGGGGGCTCTTCTCCCTGATATTCATCTATTAGAAATTGGTGTTCCACTTGCAACAGCTAAACTGGCAATTAAACAAAAATATCTAAGCATTGCTCAGCAACAATGGGTAAGTGAGTCCAGTTGTCACATTTCTAGGTCGATCTGGTCTAACTTGGATAAAAAGCGTACAAGTCAGCTGCTCCAACTAAAGAGAGATCTGCTCAGTGCTACGGTATCGGTGCTGCCGGGTCATTGTTTAATAGGGAGGCATGCTATGAGACTGGGTCTTCCTTATAATGACCTTTGTCGCGGTTGTGGCTCTGAGGACGAGGAGGAAACTGTGTTTCATCTCATGTGTCAGTGCCCATCTTTAGCCAGAAGAAGATCAAAAATCTTGGGGGCCCCTTTTCTGACCGATCTGACTGATCTGTCATCCTACAATGTGAGGGACCTAGCTAGATTCATAGAACTGTCGGGCTGGTTTTCTTTCACCTAATGGGGGAGTCGTTGCCTCTCTGTTGGGCGTTGGTCGTATACAGATCACCTTATCTATATACGAACATCACTCTTTCGTTGTGGTACCACAACGGGCCATTATTTGTGCTTAAGTGGGCTTTTTCTTGGTAAACAGGGCCGCCACTCCAACCAACCAACCAACCAATATATATGTTAATACTATAATAATAAAATCGACAATTAAAGTTAAAATCTCAAAGAATGCATATCAAACTCTAGAAATAGAACCATAAATTTTTCAAAAAATCATGTTAAACCTATATGACTTACAAAGGTTATATTCCTACCAAAATTGACATTTACATATATTGCTTGACAGATCACCATCGAAAGATACGCATAAAAAGAACAGAAATTCTAAAGTATAGAAATATCTATATGTCATATCTATATTGGCATTTCTAGTAGTGAAGAAATGCCACTTACAAAAATCATTTTAAAATAGTTTTTATCTGCCTTAACCTCAAAAAATGAAATAAAAACATCATTTGGCGTTGCTCCAACCTTTCAAACAAAAATTAAGCAAATAAATATATAATGTTTAGCGCAGTTAAAACAAAATCCAACTGATTTTTTTTAAGCGTTTTACATGACAGATAATGAAAACCATCATGCAGATATATCTATTAAAAAACTCTTTTGATAATTAATGATAAAGTACTCCGTTTTACTATTGGCAAAACTTTTATTAATACATAAAAATCATGAAAGACGATTTCGTTTTTGATTGATAAGTTTTCTAGATTGTTCATCTAGATTGAGTTGACATTAAGTGTGAAAAATAATCGAAGTGTTATCCATAGTTTTGGACAGATTTCTTTTATGTTACTATCTCGTAGAAAATTTATGGAATATACAGGTATATCATTACTGTCATCAGGCAAAAAAGATATAAGACCACTAAGTTCATAAAACGGCATACTGTCACTTATATCTAGTTTAGAGCCTAATAAGGGTGATAGATTGGTGATCATCACACAATTTGAATTTAATTCCTGACTGCAACTAACCAATAATTATAAGCTGTTGCCATGTTACCTACGATTTCGCAAATACGCTAGTGCTAAAAAGGATGCGGCAACCACGAAAAGGGTTAAGAAACTCTGCTATATAATATAATATATATTAATACCTAGACAAAATAAATTTATTCTCCATTGCTGATATATTAAACTAAAACAACACCAATAATTTTTTTTTTTTGTAGACAGTCAAGCCTTTTTGAAATCACTAATGGCATTAACATTCCAAACGAAATTGGTTTGGGATTGTTTCAATCTTCTTAACATCTTAGCGATAAGGAAAGTGACTCTGCTAGGATACCAAAACATGAGGAGCACGAAAGCCAATGAAAGGGCGTATGTTCTGATCAAAAAGGGAGCAAAAACCTTCAACAGCTTCAAACCCAGCCTAGTAAGCGATCGGGGAAAACAAAACCTAACTAAAAGCTGAAGAGTCCAAAAAGGAATGTGGCAGTCAAAACGGCTTATTATCCCTGAACATATAAGGGCTGAAACTGTTCTGAACTTAAGCAGAACAGATATCAAACTCTACACGGAACTGCTAACAGGGCACTGTAGATTGCGATACCATCTAAAAAAGATTGGTTTAGCAGAAAACGATTCCTGCCGATTCTGTCAAAAGCAATAGGAAACACAAGAACACGTTTTATGCGTCTGCCCAGCCTTGGCAAAACACAGACTTAACTATCTAGGCAATGGAGTTTTGAGCCCTGCATACCTAGCTAAAATACCGCCCATAAATATGACAAAAGTTTGGTATTGGACTAATTTGGGCAAAAGGGCTGCACAAAAGATCTTTCAGGTCGCAGTGCATGCACAGCCTATCCATAATAATAATACTTAATAAATAAACAAAAGTTTTATTTAATCAACCAAAATCATTATGCAATGTAATAGCTCCAAAAATTTTAACAATTAAAGATAATATGTTTATTATATTGGTCTGTATTTTTTTTTAGTTTGATTATGTAGTAGACTTAAAAATGTGTCTATAAAATAAAGCAGAGCCTAAGGTCTCAAATTTAATTTCCGTTTCCAATTAACTTATTTGTAAAATTAAATTAAATTTTTTTTAATTAATTATCAGCAATTATTTAACCTCCTCGCTTGTTTATTACCGTGATTATTATTATTGACATAATTAAATAAATTTTAACGTAAATCAATTGAGCGCCTTGATAGATAGATGTATGTATGTGGGTCTATTATTGTATATTAGGCAATTATAAATGAACTCCTCTCTATACTATATATGCCCTTATATGCGAGTATAGCATTATTTCTTTATTAAAAAAAACCGAGCAAAATTGTCGACGTGTTGTCATGCACTTAAATCTGCGTCATGTTTCGTTTGATTTGTTATAATTTCATTTGACAACACAACTAATTGCTTTGAGCTTAAGCACCTCAGTACGCAGTATACACACACATACACACACCACGGCAATGGCAACTCAGTTACACACCACGGCACATAACTCAGCTGCTTAAATAGGCAGCACGTAGACTGACTAACACAAACGCATATGTACTGTATGTGGAGGCAGGCAGTGTTTACCTTGTGTTGCGTATTGGTCTGCTCCATAATTGAACAATTTAATTGTGTTGTGCTTTGTGTTGTCAATACACAAATAACACAAAAGCTCAGTAATTGGTCGTTTAAAAATTATAAATACTTAATTTTATTATGTTTAATTTCATTAAATAAAAATAATAAAAAGCCAGCGTAATAATAACAAACACAATCAGAAATGTCAAAATCATGTCATACCGGATTTAGTCTTGAACGAATGTAAAAATCCGCTGTCAATGGACATGAAACATTTTTTTAAAATAATAAATAATTTTCAATTAAAAATTATTTTCAATATTGACATCAAAATTGCATAACCGATTTAATGAATTAAATATTTTTGTACTACAATTCGTTTAATTAATGAAAATGTAGGCTCATTGTACTTATTATGTTGTATGTGTTCATTATGATATATATAACAAAACAAATGTAGGTAAGGGCTTTTCATTAAGAAAAAATATTAAAAATATATTTTTTTCTTTTTGAAATAAAATTATATATAAAATGATTATAATTTAATACTGAACTGAATGTACCAAATAACATTATATAATATGAGCTTTTCATACTAGGGGTCATGAGCAATGAATGGTTCACATTTATGCTTACTCTTTCTAGATCTTCTGAAGTTTTCAATAAACTACAAATACAGTGAAAGCTCTATCATAAATGGGCATCTTTTTAAATCCCTCTTTAATATAATATATAATGTTTTTTTGAATTGGCAGTGCTATTAACAGTTGTAACAATAAATGTCAGTATTGTTGTTCTCGTCAGTGTCCACTTAAGAGAGTTTACTGTATTTATATTTTAAACTATAACTTTATCGAAATATTTTTTTATTTATAAATTTAAATTATATATAAATATATTATTATATGTATTATATTGTTGATGAGTATTATATTATTATATATATTAATATTATATTATAAATCACACTGTGATTTATAGTCACTTCCGTCTGAAAAATTTGACGTTAAATTAGAACTTATATTCACAAAATATTGGTTTCGCACGTGCGACTCGTGGAGTAATATTAGCATGATTTGCTCAATCTTAATTCCTAATTTATTCTATACATAAGAAAGAATAAATACAACATGCAACAAATAATGCCTCCACAAACAGATTAGTATTAAAATTTAACAATTTAAATTAAAAATATAATTAATTAATTCAATTATTCTACAGCTGTTATTAAAAACTTTCACAGCAAATTAACAAAAACTCCAGAAAAAAGTAGCGAACATACAAGTCAAGTACGGCTTTGGGTCAATTGCCTAATGAACGCTGGCTCTGAGTTTCAAAATTGGCAGGGCTCGAATTCAATTTCTGGTACTTGCAGTCTCAAAAAATTGTTTACGAATAAATTAATTTAAGAAATATTTCCAGAAAGGTCACTGATGATGGCTATTTGACAATAATCGAAACAGCTGTATGGTCATATATGAAACAGCTGCATATATTATGAAGAGTTTTTTTTTATTTGTATATATGTTAATAAACTTTTATTTATTTTAAAATATTAAAAAAATCATTTCAGACCATTATGCGGTTCTTCATAGAGCTTTTTTAAATATAAAATTCATGAATACCAGAAAAAAACAGTTCAGAAAAAGCAGTAGCCTCAAAGGATGCAGTGACGTGCTGACATAGTTCCCAGCCCTTTCTTAATCTAATTTAATCTAATCTAAGAAAATAATCACTTTTATAGTAAGGCTATACACACAGCATTTTCAAGACCTGAGCTAATTTGTACTTAGTAACTTTTTGGAATAATATATAGCGAGGTTCGTAAATTTCAATATTCATTGTTATAACTGGAAGCTAAGATGCAGCGAATCAATCTATTGTGCATAGTCTAGCATTTTAATCTCATATTTTTAGTGTTTTTTATAAGTTTAGTATGGCATGGACTCTGTTGTTCTAGGGTTCATATGGTTCAAGCCAAAAACCAAGATATGGTCTGACAAGAATAGGATATTCATATGTGTTCGTTCATATTTGATTTTTAGATGCAAATTTCACAAAATCGATGGACATCACTGTTGAAAAATCAACTTTATACACTTTAATTAATTTCGTACATTTTTATGCTATTTAACAGAGATTTTAAAGTCTAGTGTGCTATATGCCTAATAATAAGTAATTATGACTCAAGATTTTTTGGATAGGGGGTTAGCTTTCAATAATAACCGATACACATGATATCAAGGAAAAGTATGTAACTATAAAACTATGTAGGGGGTCGTATATGTACCTCTGATTTAAAGACAGTAAAGTATAGTTTCATTATTTATTAAACTTCATTCTTAACTACTTACGACCATTGGACCAAATTCTTTAAAAATTTCCGTATCTTGATTGGTGAAATATGGGAACAGGAACGCATACCACAATAATAGGCTATTGACCACAATACGAATGAAAAACCTATTGTGGCTTTTTCAAAGGGAATATACACAAGAAAAATTATAATGTTATACTAAATATATCAAAATAACACAGCAAGCATTGGGTATACCCACGTACGTTTTCAAAAACAAATCAAATACAGGTCACATTTTCATTATTCGGTAAGTTTTTATAAAAGTTACAGAATACAATGGCGATGTTTGAGATTAAGTATCTCAAAACCAATCGAAATTATTAATAAATATAAGAACTTTGGTCATTTATATATCACCATGGTTCTAGATAATAGTATAGATGTGCTTTCCTTTAGAAACCAACCGACAGGACTTACAGGAAACGTAATGATAAAAAGTACCAATGTAAATGGATTAACTAGAAGACTAAAAAGTACTAACTCATACATAAGTCCAGCAATGTAATGAACTTAATCGGGAGTTTATACAGAAGTTTTTATATGCTTAAATACTAAAATAAGTTTTCATAGCTAGAATGTTAATCTCGGATTACATCCAGCTGTTGTTATTATTTTGTGATCGAGTTTATGAAAAATTTAATATTGCCTGTATCATTAAATTTACATCTATTATATTATTTTACTCAATCCTGAAACCAAATTATGGTAGAAAAAAGATGCTCAATATCAGTAATAGTCAATCTCAGAAAATGCAATTCTCACTTAGTCTTCATAAAACACACTCCGATGCCCCAAAAGCTAGTATCACCCAATTTGCACTAATCAATTCTATCTGAAAACTTTAAGTAAATACTTCAGGAGAGAAATATTCTAGCAATCGATTTACAGTTGTACAGCAAGTAAGCGGAGTTTCCTTCTTCAACTGATCAAGATCATCGACTGATCTTGACACAAGAATAAATCTTATAGACTTGCTTTTTTCTTAAAGGTTTAAATGCGACTTTGTAATTTGGGTAATTAATTACTAGTCATGATGTATAAAGTACTCTTTTTCAATTTAAACTTTTACTGAATTATAAATTACTACACATAACCTATCAAACCAAGTACCTAATACCTTTTTTTATATTTATATTTGCGAATTAAATTTAAAGTTTACAGTAATAATATTCTTTTGAAATAAGATTTAAATTATGTCAAATAACTATTTAATTTTTGAACTTTTATCATCAACAGATCACATATGAAAACAACTCACCTCCTGCTAAAGCACTTAGACCCGCTGAAGTAACTGGAGGCGGCTTTGAGAGAATCGTATCAATGCCATGCGGATTAGCTGCACCTTGTGTGTGAGTTGTTGTGGTTGTGGAAATAGCCCCAGACATACCACGACTATCACTAATCAAATGATTGTTCTGATTATTTGCATAAACACCGTTCAGAACACCATTACCCGCACCAGCGTTTCCAGTCTTCATTTCGGTCATAGAGTGTAAAGCTGCCAACGGTGGCCCCAGAAAGCTTAATGGCAATTTATGTTCCAGCATATTGTTATTGTTGTGTACACCCAATGGATTGGCTGGGTTTGTTGGTAAGGAGTGATTATATTTGCGACTGGATAAATTCTCTGGGCTGTAATCAGGCGGTGGTGGACTTGACTCACTGTTATTACCCGCTTCCTCACTACTCCGCTGGCTTACTGGATACGATTTTGAGCTATCAACACCAGGACTTGAATTTTCGTAACGACTCCGATTATTTAGTGAATTATTACAATTATCTGGTGACTCAGACTGTAGGCGGGATGAAGTAAGCGAGGATTGATCTGCCACACGCAAGGCTACCGTATCAGTGCTTGAGAGTAATGGTGGCGGTGTTGATGAATCTTCGGTTGAACGTGCAGATTTTGTATCTAAACTGTGTTTTGGTGCTTTCAGCAACATTAAAGGACTGGAAAGATTGTTGTTATTGGCGGCATAAGCTGCAGCAGCTGCGGCGCTGTGATAATCGAGTAAATGTTCTCTACTTGCCAGATTTTGATAATCTGTATGATGGGCATCTACAAAGCCATTGGTTAGCGCTGAGTTTGGTAGGTGGTGTAGTGGAGGACTGCGATTTGCCGCCGGTGAACTACTTTGACTGGCAAAGCTGTGATGTCGCATGTAGGGATTAAGTAAATCCATATTGTCCTGTTCGCTTAGACTGGATGTAGACGCGTAATTCGAACAGTCTTCGTAATTAAAATTACTAAAACGATAAAAATTGTGTGGAAACCCAATGGTTGCGTGATTGGGATTACGGAACGCTAAATTAAATGCGGAGTTTTGTGAAAGTTGAAAAGTTTTTGCAGTATTTATGAGTGCGGGAACTTCATTAAAGTTCTGTATGCCGGAGAAATTTATTTTTGGGCTTTCCGAGCCCGTAGGCGTTGTGGGTAAATACGGACTACCCAGGTTGAAAGAAGTAACAAGTTTTGTAATTAGGTAGGCAGCGTTTTTTTTAATAAATCCAAACTAATTTTCACTAAAATATTTTAGGCCACAAAATTTTCACAACACTAAAAATTCTTTAATTTTTTTTGTATTTTTTTTTTTGAACAAATTTGAATATCTTTTTCGTTTTTATGCTATATTTGCAATATTAAAAATTCTCTATTTTCATTAACGATTATTTAAATACCGTCGCATTATTTGCTATAATTCTTTATCTTTTATTTTAAGATATTAAATATTTTTTTTGCCCATCAAAAACACTGATTTTTTAACACTTCCGTTCATGCCACGGTTTACCGTCCGAATGATTAGGCCTAACACTACAGAATGCTTTCGAAATTGACTCCCGTTGATTTTCAAATGAACCGAAAAAACCAAAAACGACCAAACAACAAACAGAAATCCCAACACAAGCGCAATATCCGTGTCACTCACACGCACACAATAGGGCGGGCCAAACAATTCAATTACAATGAATTTCCACCACCAGCAAATCCACATTACTCATCACTCTCTCGCGCCGTGCAGAGAACATCTTAAATGTATTTTGGTTTAGTATCATTACGGAAAAGTAAGTAAATCAGTGAGAAATCAGTGTTTCAGAAAATCACTGAAAACAAGTCAAATAACAAAAACAACAAAGACAAAAGCAAAAACACATAAAATTGGAGCTTACAAAATTCCATAGCATTTGCCTGATGCACAGGTAGGAATATTGTGGAATTGTGGAACTGTGAAACAAAACGAATGGGAATTTTATTATGTGCGTCATTAAAATGCACTATTTTGGATTGGAGGAGCGTGCGAGTGTATGTGTGTGTTTGGAATGTGAGCAAATTCACTTTAAGTGCTTCACGATATAATGCGTTGAGGTACGGGCTGGTGGGTGGCAGGCATGTCGAGCAAGTATCTCATGAACGCACGACCATTGTTTATTTGTTTAAAATGTAATAAATATTAAGCGAAACAAAGCACACACACGTTTTTTTTTGCTCTGCTCGTTCATATGCTAAGTTTATTTTTTGATTGACTAATAAAAATGCATGTTAAATAGATATAATGTAATATCATAATATACATAATATCTACTATAATATATAATAAAATATTTATTGTATAGTGCTACAAATATGTTATTTAAGAAATTTAGAAGAAATCATAGCACAATTGCTCACAGAAATAATTGAGTTTTTTATATATTTTGATATATACTTTTTTTTATTTAACTATATTTTACTCAAAATTAGTATTTTACATATATGTATTACCTTTATAGCTTTCAATAATATATTTTTATTATTGCAGCATTAAAATCACATTTATTTATTTAATAAGTTATTTATATGAGTTCATTATAACTATAATATAATAATTATTGCGTTATTTGCAGTAAGCTTTGCTTCTTCATTTAATAATAAACTTCACAGCATTTAATTTACTCACAATCACAACTTTATAAACTAAGTAAGTTACGTTGCACAACAACAACAAAAACCTGTTCTTATTGGAAACTATATTAGTTATGAAATGGTAATGAAACAATTCACTGAAACCACTCCCATTCTGCTGACGACATCTTGGACGCCATTGTATTCTTTGTAGTAATCGCATTGAAATCACTCAGACTCGTTTTGAGTGTTTCGACGACGCTTAAACAATTTTGAGTGACTTTTATTAGAAATTCACCTCTGTTTCTTACTCCTCGGATTTTATTTTGCATCATAATTTTCTGGTTTAATGGAGTCCCGTATGCGCAGTCTTTAAAAGTTTTTTCTTTTTTATTGTGTATTTTTATTTTTATTTTGATTTCACTTAATTCACTTTTATTTGCAGAAAAAAAATGCATTTCGAAAAGATTTAATTTTTTTTTACGAAAAGGCAATTATTTTATTTGTGTGCATTGTTAGAGATTTAGAAGATTTGCTCAAAAATTTTATTTGTAATAAAAATTCATAATCAATATATAATTAACATTTATTAAAAAATTTTATAAAAAATAAATTACAAAAATATCGTAAAGAAAACTAAACGATTTTTTTAAATAAAATAAAAATTGAATAATAAAGTACGTATAATGCAATTACTTATTAAATATTCTATATATGCATATGAATATATGTGTATGTGTACATGACAATGAATTGAACTTATTTATTTTAATTAGAAAACTTTTCTGAATCTTTATAAAGATCTACTGAAAAAGGCAGACTTATTTAATTGAAGCAAGAACAAATTAATATATTATATATAACGAATAAATAAAATAAACGTAAAAAATAAAATATATAAACATAAAAATTAAAACATTCAATAAAATGAAATTGTAATATAAAGCAAAATTATGAAAAATAATAATTATAATGAATATATAAATATTTAATAAAATTGCTTATATTAATATAAAATAAAATATTTAAAAAAAAATTAAATAAAATAAAATAAAAAAAAATAATATTTTTAATGAATAAATAAAAATGTAATAACATTGCTTATATAAATATAGAATGAGATATTAAAAAAAAATAAAAAAAATTAAAACAGATTATATATTTATCGAAATTTACATATTAAAAGACAAATGACTAACAAATTCAAAAAAAAATATTAATAAAATATAATTTAAAATAAATAAAACTAAATAAAATAATATATCTTTAAAAGTATGCAAATCTGAGGTTAGTTATAGCTTAGTCTAATGAAGTGAAAAACAATAATCCAATCAAGGCGTTAAGAGGGGTTATGTAAAAACCTCGCTGTTAGTAGAAAGTAAAAGAGCTCAAGCACACTGACTCAACTAGCCTCAACATAATAATAATTAAAATTTAGTACTTAAAGATATTTAAACAATAACGAAAATTCTGTAAAATTATTTTCACTCCGACTATATCATAATACCGTGAATAAAAATTTTATCCGTTATTACTATACATTACGAAGTCTATTCTTTTCTTTAGAACTTAAAAGTTTGCTCAGAGAGAACTCCTTCTGCTCAGTATAATTACTGGAAAAATAAAAAACCTGCAAAAGCAATTAATTAAACAACTACGGCCTGATTTCTGTTGCATTGATTCATTAGCCCTAAAAACTTGGAAAGTTAATTTTTCGACGAAAATACCACCCTCTATTCGTTGTCCATGTTTTATCTAAAACATGTACAAGTAGAAATTTACAACTTGATATTCGAGAAAAGATTCGACATGTCCAAATGCAAGAAGTGGTTTAAAAAAATGTCTACTGATTTGTTATATTTCATTTTAAGTTCCATAGCAAACAGTCAAATTGAAAAATAGCAAAAAAATTATTTTCAAAAAGTTGGTGGATAATCCACCGTGAACGCAGGTGGATGAAAGACATACACGATATCTTTCAATCGTGTATTAAATTACTAAATACAAAATTGAACAATTGTTTGCATGAAGCCAGATATGTCTAAACTGTTTAAGTTTTTAGAATGATTCTTTGAAGCATCCCGTCCCGGCCGGCTTCGCTTTGTAATATCCGAAAATATCCCCATGACCGATAACCCAGAGTAGATAAATGTTAAACTGAATCAACTTTCAAGTGAATCAAAAATTGGATTGGATCCAGAAAGAAGCTTTCCTCTTTGATAATATATATATATATATATATATATTCCTATTCAACGTGTTATTATTTTCTTCCCTAATAACGATCACCTGCTTCTGAAAAACATTGTAGAGATCAGGACATCTATAATACAATATACAGGTTCATTCAGTCTGAAGTCTGAAGCCGTTGGTATATATGGTTAACTCTTATAAAAGTTAATATGTCATTTTGTAATAAGTAAATGTAAGGGTCATGCTATGTAGAGTGTTATGGGCTCTCTCATCATAAGCAAAATTGCTATTGTTTTCAATGCAAATAAAAAAATTGAGAGTGAAAGAAAAACAAATTTGTCGGTTCAAATTTAGCCATGAGAGCCGAGGCTATCTGGGTATTGTGATTTAAGCAAACCAGTGCTATTTAGTAACACATGTCAACATTTTTGTCTTTTAGAGGTAAATTATTACAATTTTTGTGACACATAACATGCATTTTTGTTAAAGCTCAAAAGAGACAATTTTGACGAGCCCATTACATAACATGGCTCTAATCAAATATAAAATTTTGATATGGTATAATTTTTTTAATTGTATGAAGAAGTTTTTTTTTCTGCTGATAAGAGTTTTAAAAATGCCTAACGCACTGCCACTATGCCGTTACAATAGCGGTATGCCGGAATTGCACGGACTAAAAACAATCCTCGTTGTGTGCCAGACCATTTCTACCCTGAAACATTATCGGGTATACTTCAAGATAGAGTCCCTATCTTTGTTAATGATCAATGATTTTCTTCGCTAGCCTGTGTTCTGTGTTTATCTCTTCTTTAAAATTATTAATTTTTGAAATCATGTTTTTTCCGTTTGAGTACGATCTTAACGAAACGGTTTATCGTAGTCCAACATCATCTCCGTTGTAATATTTTCTACTATTATTTCACCAATTATTGTCTTAAGTGATGTTCTTTTAATGTTCCATCTAGTGCATCTGAAAATGTTGTGTACAGCGTTGTTTTCTTCTGCATCTCCGTTCATGCATTTCGGATCATTACTTAACATATCAAAATCATACATATTCTTATGATATTTGTCCGCTGCCTTTCTATATGATTAAATTCTGGCTCCGTCACTAACGTTAAATTCATGATAGATTCAGTTCAAATAGATACATAGAATAGAATATAGATAGAATAGAATATAGAATGATTAAGTTTAAATTTGTTAAAACTTTATAAGTACGACTAAATTTTGTTCAGTTTTTTTTTCTATTTAACTTTTTATCTTTAGTTTATGTTTAATTTTTAGGTAAAATATAAATATGGTATTCGTTGTGGTGAAGGGAAGAACAAGTCCTCTTCAATTGGCTAATAAAGCTATTTTGAATTAAATGTGGTGTAAATGTGGTGTAATAAATTTAAGCTAAGGATGGCA